AAAGCGTGGTTGCATGTCGTAGAACATCACAGTATCAGGTACGTTAGATCAACTTGTATGTGGTTCTGTACATAGGACTTCATATTTTTATTTCTTATTTACATCAATGTGTTTTTTTAAGTCCTGGCATTTTAGCATATGGCTTACCAGTAAAGCTCAACAAAGGAAAATACATTAGGTTATTTGTATTCAGTTTGCATAATGAAGAGTAAAAGATACAGGTGAAGGTTTAAAGGTGAAGAAGCTTCATAGTTAACCTGCAGAATCACTTTAGAATCATAGAATGGTTAGATTTGGAAGGGACCTCAAAGATCATCTAGTTCCAACCCCCCTGCCATGGGCAGGGAAACCCTCCACTACACCAGGTTGCCCAAAGCCTCATCCAACCTGGCCTTGAACACTTCCAGGGATGGGGCATCTACAACTTTAACATATATTAATTCAGCACACGTTAGAAGTTTATTTTGTTCCTGGCAGTTTTCCTGGAAAATAAAACATTTTCAAAATGGACCAAAACGCATGCAATTTGATCTCTTCCCACATTTTGATATGTATTTACTTGACCTGTCTAGTTATTGTAATTTTTTTTTTTTTTTTTTTTTTTTTTTTGGCAGGCAGCATACTTGCTGTCACTACTGCAGATCCATATGCCAGTGAGAAAGCCAGCCGGTTTGTAGGCATCTGCATTCAAAGAGGAGGAAAAGGACTTGGTGCTACCTTTGTCCTTCGGAATGTTATAGAAGACCAAGGTGGGTTTTTAACTGTGGTAATTATGCTAGAAATGGTAAGCAAAAAATGTTGATGTTGTTGTATGCGAAGGGATATCTGGTGTAGAAATGTTGTCTGCAGAGAGGATGACAATGAATTAAAGTGAAATCATGAGTTTAACTACTAGGGGATACTACTGCAGGTTTAAAACTGTGTACGCAGACATGCTGACGTGGCACATATTTGAAGGCATGCAACTGCTTTTTGTCTATATACTTGGTGATTTTTAGATCTGTATTCTGAGGAGACTGAATGTGATCCACTGTTTGTGCCTCTGTTTGAGCCTGGGCAGTCTACTGCCAGCCGGGTAAATATTGGGCCCGTTTGGGCACTGTGTGTTTGCATAAAGCGGGGTGATGTGCGTGAGCTGTGTAACAAGTGACAGATTAGCAGAATTTTACAATAGGTTCATGTTCTATTTTATGACAAAATGGGGGGAGATGCAAATACTGATGTTCTGAGAGCAAACATGAAAGGGGTGTGTGTCTCTCAATATACACTACTTACACAATGAGAGATAGTAACAGCCATTGTAACCAAAAGGGAGTAAAGTTTAAAACCCAAGCTCATCTTCCTTATATTGTAACCATTTAATATCTCTTAAGCCATTCTGTTATCCAAAAATTGAATTAATAAAGAAATCTGTATGTGTCTGTGCAGACACAATGTACTTATACGCTCACATGTGCACACAGCATTATATATTGTTGTTCTCTGGCAAGCAAAAAGCAGTTCTTGAATAATACAGGAATGTGTAACACTGAAGAAATACTATTTTGATGTTAGTATTTCTAATGAATTTGGTTCATTAAACCAGACTTTCTCTTTCTAAGGTGTTGAAATATGTTATGAACTATACAATCCTCGAATCCAGGCGATCGAGGTTCTGAAGCTAGAAAAGAGGCTGGATGACAACCTGATGTACCTGCGAGATGCCCTCCCTGAATATAGTACTTTTGATGTGAATATGAAACCTGTGTTTCGTTTAGACCATGAAGAAATTCCTGTAAACAAGGTAGGAGCCTCATGTTTCAGAAGGAAAGTGGAGGATCATTTAGGTAACTTTTGTTCCTGACCAATACCCTGGAAGGCCGTAAACAGCTCTCTGTTGCATTAGTTACCGGTGTGACAGAAGTACATAAAATAAGGCAAGTTTTTATGCCCTTTCTATAGAGAAGAATATTGAGAATGTAAATACCTACCATTCCCAGTAGTTAATTTTGAAGACGGGTAAGGAGTAGTGGCATCCACGTGCCTCTGCGTAACTACACCACAGAGAGGGCGGCTTTTCTTACAGAAATGTTAATGTGGTCACTGATTTGGGAGTGGTAGGTGTCAGGAAAGAAGGTAAGATTGGAAGAGTCAGCTAAAACGCACATTTCAGAGGAGATCTAGAAACCAGCAGACCCTGTCAAAGAGCGCTGTCTAGTAACTCGGTAACTTAACAGTGATCATTCCTCCCTTTCCCTATCATGCTACTTCTCATTTCTTTAATAAGGAACAGGACTAGAGAACTACAAAAGATGAGTTGACTTCACTTTATGTGTCAATTTAAAGGCTGTGTAATAAATCAAGACAGTGTTAATTAAAAAGTTTTACAAGATACTATGACAACAGTCATGTGGACACAAAAAATTCCTTTTCTCCTAATAGTGTAAGCAGTAGCAGTTCCTTACCATACTAACAAATTGGTCTGTTTTCTCTAACTTTCCTTCTGTCAGAGCAGGAGTTGTCTTGCCTTTTGCTAAGCTCACAATCAAGATTCTGATTACTTAATACTATTTTTTTTTTTTTAAATCTTTCACCCTAGCTGCAGGTACGAATGAAACCTAAACCATGGTCAAAACGGTGGGAAAGGCCAAAATACAATATAAAAGGAATAAAGTTTGAGCTACCTGAAAAAAAAATGAAAGAAGCACAGAAGTGGAATAAGCCATGGCTAGAGTTTGATATGATGCGAGAATATGATACTTCAAAAATAGAGGAAAAAATTTGGAGAGAAGTGAGTGAAGAGCTTAAAAAATAAGAATGGTTTTTGCAGTCTAGGAATTACTGAGAAAATTAATATTTACTTGAATTTACTGGATGGATTATATCACTTGTCAAGTTTTGTATATACATAGGCAAAACAAACAATAAAGTTAACCTTTCCAGAAGATTCTGAAGTGTACAAACTTTTGTGGTTGAACAGTAACTTCCTGCTCCTGAAAACAACCACTCCTTTTTCTGAGGAGCATAATGCTGTGTTTACCCCTTCGCCAGAAGCAAGAAGCCTCTTTTTAAATTTGGGTTTATATCACCCAGTCAAGTTAGTTGTGTTGTCATTTCCAAATCCTTCTGCTACTTCTCTCTTTACAGACCAGGTAGTGGCCAGTTGTAGAACTGCTTGACTCATAACTTCACAAGTGGGCTGTAGCAGGGAAGCAGACATGCCTGAGCCAACCATGCTCTCTCACAGTAAGTGCTGGTGAGTTTTCCCATTTAAAAAAAACACCAAACAATTACCCCATTTCTTACAGAGCAGTAATACTCATCTGCCAACAGAGCAGCAAATACAAACACTCTGAAATCAGTTTTGAAGAACTGAGCTGGTTTGTTTAAGCTAAATCATGTGAATTAGTGTAAGGTTCATGATGAAGTGCTCACAAAGTGTCAGAGAAGGTTCCCAATACGGGGACAGCTTGTTTCATAAAACTGTGTTTCCATAGTAGAAGCACATAAGGGCTCTGCATTCCCCTGCTTACAAGTAACCTTTCTTCCACAAAGAAACACCTGTAGAGCTGTGATAGAACATCTATTAACGTTTTTACAATAACACAAGGCTGGTTGCTTCAGGGGAGACCTTTAGCTGGGATGAGACAAAGGAGAAGAAGAGAAAAGCATTAAGATTGTGAGCTTGTGGTGACTGCTGATCAGCTATTGCATTTTTGCTGGCCTTCTGAGAGGATAAGCAACAGAAATTCACTATTACTAGAAAGCAGGACATGGAACATAGCTCCTAAAGGTAATGAAGGCTAATCGTGCCTCAGGTGTTTTTTCATACTTCTAATAACGTTCTTGTCCCATATTAAAGAATCAAACTGTAGGAGTCTCATTAACACAGCAAAATATTTTTACTTTATTTTCAAAATAAAACAATTATTTTAAAACTCTTTTTGTCTGTAACACTGATCAAAGCTATTTACAATTAAAATATTTTACAAAAATATATTTTTAACATAAAAAAATACAAAAGAAATCACAGGAATCAAGTCTGCAAGAGTTTAATTCTAGTCCCAGAAGATTCTGGAGAAACAGTCACAAGTAAATGTATGGAATCTGTGATGCACTACAGTTTCTACAATAAAGCATCCTTGTTTTTCTGTAACAATATTTACTGCAAATATACAAAGTTATAAAGAAATCAGGAATCTCTTAAGGGTACGATGAAGTAAGGTTCAGTAGATCTTACTGGGAAGCAAAAGGAAGACTTTCCTAGAGTTTCAGTTACTAGAAAGTAACTGAAGTTGTTCTGGTGCTTCTCGTCATCACAATGTCTGTTATTAAAAGCCTGATCAAGGAGGATGTGTGCCAACCCCAGCTGTGTGCACACGAGTTCAGTCTGTATCACTCAAGTACAAAACCAAACACGTCAGACACCATCTTCACCATGCGTCTGCTTTTCCCCAGACGTTCTCTCGTGCAACTTCTTACCTCACTGAACCCACGTTTACCATCAATAAACATTCCTCAAACTCCCCATCTGCACACTGACTTCCCTTGTTTCGGTACCTGGTCAAAACCCCTGCAACATTATGAATTCTTTTTCACAATGGATGGCTTAACAATAACCCTACAAAAAAAAAAAAAAAAAAAAAAATCACTGTGGACCACAAGCCAGAAGAGTCCAATGACTCCTGAGTAAGAGTGATACTTAAAAGTTTACAGGCACTTTCTATCTTTCCAGGAATCCTTCCCAAAAGGGTAAAGCAATGAAGCATTGTCATACGTTGTAAAATGCCTGAACTATCACTTTACTTTGACAACTGTAACTTCTAAAAAGACTCCTTAACCTAAAAGTAGATGGCAGTAGAACACACTTGGGAAAAAAAATCTCAAGTATTTAACAATAGTACAGTGATTACCACTACATCTTTGAGTAGGCAGGATCCACTCATTAAATTGTGTATTAGAACTGTTTTAGTGTGAATATGAGGCTTCTTTCAGTACTGTAAGTGTTGCTTCAAAAATTTCTATTTTCTGATAATTGACTTAAGGTGTTCAAGTTTGTACTCTTCAATGAAGCCTTCAACAATATGCAGAGCTTTGATTCTCACCAGCAGGAGCAGAACTTCTTTTGTTTCATTACTAGAAAATAAAAATAGAAAAGTTTGATACAGTAACACATTTATGTACCTGACTTAAGAACACTTTATGTTCATTAATTTTAAAAAGCCAGGTATCTCTCCTTGGCCGCTTGTCATCAGGTGACCTTGGCTACACCGATCACTATCAGTACCCAACATCTATCACGTCAAACTGAAACTGCAGTGCTCCTTTACATTATGGACTCCATCTTTTGTTCTATATATGTATGTCATGAGAACATCCTTGAAAGTGTCACATATATGAGACTTAAGAAATCAACACAAAGTACATCAGTGCTTGAGTCTCAAGGAAAACCTTATCTATTACCTGTGGTTATTCTTGTGTAGCATACGTGCACACTGCAGCATGTGCTGGCAGAAGTTCAGTAACTCAGGGAGAGTTGATCCACCTTTAAGATCTTGAAACCATCTTTCTGGGAGGCATGCAACCATCTGTTTCACCAACAGAATACATGGAAAAAGTTTAAAAAGAAAAGTCTTTCAATATAACCAAGTCACATCACTTCTGACAGGCACTTTTCGTTTTGGCAGATTCAGTCTTTATCAGTAGTGTATTTTCCCTTTGAAACCAAAAACGATTATCCCAACAAGCAGTTATTCTTAAGAACCTTAAGAATTAACCTTAATTAATTTTTTTTTTTTTTTTTAAATTTGACATTTTAAAAATTCCATCTTCAGTTTAGACCCCTCTTCATGGAAAAAAAACAGAAACAACAAAAAACAACTTATAGCATGCACCCTCTTCCAATGTACATGTTATCTTTTACCTTATCACACTTTTCTATGTTATCCAGCCCCAGTGGCGTGTTTAAGAGGTACAGAAGAAGGTAACGATTCAGCAACTTGCTCAGACCCAAATCACGGAGCGTATCTTCTTGTACAATCTCATCCCAAAGAAGCACATTGGAGAGCAACTGCAGGAAATGAAGAAACAGAGAATATGTATCGCTGGTGGCTGGAGGTGTGCTAAAACACAATTACAAACACAACTGTAAGATAAAGATAAAAAGATAATATTGTGCCCATCCAATTTAAGTACTCAAAACCCAGGTTTCACACTCTCCAAACTTACTGTCAGTTTGCCACCAGTAAGATTCATACAGCAAATAACCTTATCAAGTAGGATAATTAATTTTACATGTGCACATACATACTAATATGTGTATGTATGTATATATATATATATATACACACACATACATACACATGTGTATATATATATATATATATATGACCTCCCACAGTTAGGAAGAGCATTTTACCCTTCTAATAGGTTAAGGATTCACTAAGGCCCAAGTACAGAAGACAGCTACGCTTCATTCTTTTCACAGAAGAGCTACAGTCAGTTCTAAAAGCATGGAAGTAGGGAACAGTATTTAAGACATTCCACCTACACACAATACTGACCAAGAAAAGTGACACCCAATCCTAAGCAAACCTTCAGAGAATCCAAGACAGAAATAAAAGTAGTTACTACATCCACTCAGGATAAGACTACACGCAGTCTATAAAAATCAAGCAGCTACAACTCTTAAGGGGAACATGCACCAGAACTGCTGCTGGATCATAAGACCCACAAGCCCCTGTGGTGACCAGGGACCACGTCCACTGTCCTCTGCTCCCTCCAAGGACTGAGTGACTTGTATTCTTTCTGTTTCAAGCCTAGATTATGACTGCTTTATTATTGATACTGCAAGCCAAATACTAAGAGTTGACCCTACCTGCAGAGAGTCCAGGTGATTAGGAACCATAAACTAAGCTGTGCTATGCTACTTACAAAATTGTGCTACACTGATTGTGATTATAAAAATCCTGTGCTACTCTCATGATAAAATTCTATGGTATGCTGATCATAAAATTCTGTTAAAAAAATAATGCTTTCATCATACCTACAACTTAGTGTCATCATCATTCTGCCCAGGATCCCCAAAAGAACCTGTCTGTCCCCATACGGTCGGGTGACAACCTGTTAGCAGAGTGGCAATGACTAACTAATAGGATGTAAGGCCACCAGGCCTGGCTGAGCCACTCAAGGCAGAAAAAAAATGAACAGGAACAAATCATCGGATCAAAGTTGCTTGCAGAAGACATACCAGTTAGATAAATAGAAATAAAATGTTCATTTATAGTTCATTCTTAAATCATCACATGCAGGTTGCACAAAGAACACATCCTTCACTGAGAAAAACGGTTATCCATCCTAATAAAAATGTATTCCTTTCCAAAAATAGGACTTGCCTGAAGGTATATTTCTTGACTGACTGCAAAATATTTTTTCACCAGAATTAATTTCAAAGAAAACAACAAGTCTATTTTCTCTACCTTAACAGCTGACCAAAAACGTCTTTCTTGAAATTTTGAACATAGCGACGATTTGTCTTCCACACTGCTGGTCATGGAAAGAAGAAGAAAGGTAAAATAAGGATTTATTTTTTGTTTGCTTTTAGAAGAAGATAAACAGACAGCTGATCTCTTAGATACTGATGAATGTTAATTTTGGAATCCTTTCAGCAGTAACAGTCACAACCAGAATAAAGGTCTCGTTATCAAGTCAAACCCATTATAATACAACTACTACAAAGTAACTTCCAATAATAAAATTAGCAATTGGAAACACTTGTGTCTACGTTTCATGGATTCAGATCAAAACAGCATTGCTTAGAACCAATCATCCTACAACAGCTTTCACAAAGCTTCTCTCCTAGCTGTATCTTAACCCCACATCTCCCAGACTCCTACTCATTCCCATCTTTGAAAGTGTCCAATAGTAAGCATCAACAAAACCCTATTTTAGGAATGACAGGAAGAATCAAGGGACACCCCCACCCCCCATCAAATCACCTAAACTAATACAGGCTCTCTGATATAAGTCGCTATGCTAAAACCAGATTGTGGATTGCGTATACTGAAAAGATTTTTGTTACAGGAGCCAAAAAGCATTAATTCAGTAGAGTTATTCTTATTAGAAAGAGCCCATAAACAGGAATAAGGCTTCCTAACCTTTCCTATAATAAAACAGTGGAAGGCACATTTATCCCATTAGCTGTTAATGGGTGTCTACAATATTTCATCTACATCTGTGGGGGAGAAAGGTAGAGGAATTTAAAAAAAAAAAAAGTTGAAGAGGCCCAGAGTCAGCTTACCTTTCAGGATACAAAGGAATAAACACATCTTCCTCTACAGACTTCTTCATTCTTAGGACAACTACATTTATCAAATCCTATTAAAAAAGAATTATTAATGTGTTCTCACAAGACAGACTTCATGTTCCATTTGTAACAACTTCAATGGTTATTTTGTTCATCTAGAAGTGCAATATGCTATTCGGAGCTAAGTACAGTTGCCACTTTTATATAATACATATTGAGCTCATTAATACACTAAAACCAGTAGACAAATCACAGCTGTAATTACATGGTTAACCTAGAGGATTTTTTTTAAGATTATTTCCTTAAGTGAGGCCTTTTTTTTGCATGTTAATTTGCAAGGCAGCAGGAAAACTATAGATTAACAATAAAGTTATGCATATAGGATCTCCACAAAAAGTTGTGCAATTCTATGTAAAAAAGTAATCACCATAGATAAGATAGTAGGGGATTTTTAGGCAACATGCTTTTAAGTGCCACAGATTGCCACCTGCTTTTTTTTTAAACACTTTTAATTTATTTATTTAAAGTTCTGGTTTAGTTTACTTTCTACACAAAGAGTATCTTGGTTAGAGTCAGTTGTACCACTTGACTTCAACTCATGATTTCAAATCAGTAACCTTTGGAAGCTTCAGTTGGAAGGCATAAACATGTTCTTAAAAATATTTATTTTCATATACTTAGGGCCTAAGCATCCATCCCATTTCACCAATTTTATACTAGATAAACCTCCACATTTACATCAGAATAAAACTGGAATTAGGCTAAAGAAAGGCATATTAGAGTGACTATGTGTATAAAAGTAATTACGGAAAGATTCCTAAGATTACAGAAGTAGTCATTCTTCTAGCCAATTAATTAACTGTTAGGGATGTTTAAATTTTAAAATTCTACATCTATTTTATAAATAAAAGCTTAAGGAGTTGACCACTGGAGCACTACACTAGCATTTTAAAGCTCAAATTTTGAAAGATAATTAAATGTAAATCTAAATTCTAACCATGGTTGTTGCAGTGAAGCAAGATTAGATCTATGATTGGACTCTTGATAGGTACAGGCAGAATTTTTCTGCTTCAGGAGTGTCTCATCTGCCATCATCTTCAATAACAAGAGCATCAGACAGCTGGAAGTTTAACCGTTACATTTTCTTAATATAAAGGGACAAAACCAAGTAAATAGAACTCAACAACTTCAACACAATGTCCTAAGTGCCCATGGAAGCATGCACAGAAAGCAAACACAGTGGATTAATTTCTCCTTTCCCCCATACCACAGGAGCTTTTACCTCTTTTGCTCGACTGCATTCATTTTTGGAAAGGACTTGTTTTTCAAAGATGTTATTGCAAAGCTGTACAAGGTTCTTTGTCTGTGAAGTAGATAGAGGATCCCATACATTCTTCACAAATGCTGGAGGGGGGAAGAGAAGACAAAAAAGAATTTCATTCATGATACAGAAGTGGTTATCAGCTCTATTTTCGAGGCATTACAATGTAGCAGAACTTCACTTACAGTAATCTTAAAAAGAGGCTACCTTAGCCTCCCTCTGTGGAACTAAGGAATCACTGCATCTTGGAACACCATTACATAACTAACATTATTTGATAGCCATCACTTAAGGTTTGATTACCCAGCTGGAGGGAACATTTTCAAGACAATCTTACTATACCTGTGATTTTTGGAAGAATAGTTTTTTCAATCACTCTAGGCAAAACTTCTTGATCAGGATCATCATCCTTTGGTTCAGATACGTTTTTGGCATCACTGAATTCTTCTATAGCTCTGAACCAGGGCATCTCTTCCAACTCCGTAAAATTCTGCTGAAAAATCATTCCTATTAGCTGTTCAGCTGGTCAGGACTGAGAGAAAAGCTCCATGCAAAAATACATCCAATGATACCATGAAGATTCTCACTTAATTTCAGATTCCCCCTCATCACTGAACAGATCAAAACAACCAATCAGGAAAACTAGATTTAAAGCTAGAATTTCAAGAGTGGGGTTGTCAAAAGTTCCAAGAACTCGGGAGAATTATTTTTACAGGGAATGCTGCAAAAGGTGCTGGAGATTAAGGGGAAAGGAGAAAGTTCAGAAGATTCCAACCCATACGCTTCAGTTTGAGACCAACACAGGATATTTCTATGAATTTCTAACACACTTGCTATGCACAGAAAGAACATCTCATTTTTCCTATTATCGTAATACAGACTAAAGTTATTAATATACAAAAAGTGACTTGACCAAAAAATGCAGTTTCTGCTTCTAGTTGATGTACTTATCGTGGATTCTGGAACATCCCTACAACCTTCACAACAAAGTTCCCATGCAGAAGTCTTCCCTGCAAACACCGTGCCTCTGCTCAGACATACTTTAGGCTGCGAGAAATACCCACGTGTCACCAATTAACAAAAACGAGTAAGGCAGCAAAAGGCACATTCAGAAAGATGTTACAGTCCATAAATATAACAGACTCCAGGGTGATCTTAGAGCAGCCTTCCAGTACTTAAAGGGGGCCTACAAGAAAGCTGGAGAGTGGCTTTTTACCAGGGTATATAGTGATAGGAGAAGGGGCAATGGCTTTAAACTGAAAGAGGGGAGATTTCGATTAGATATAAGGAAGAAATTTTTTACATTGAGGGTGGTGAGGCACTGGAACAGATTGCCCAGAGAAGTTGTGGCTGCTTCATCCCTGGAAGTGTTCAAGGCCAGGCTGGATGAGGCTTTAAGCAACCTGGCGTAGTGGAGGGTTGTCCCTGGAGGGTTGTCCCTGCCCATGGCAGGGAGGTTGGAACTGGATGATCTTTGAGGTCCCTTCCAACCCTAACCATTACATGATTATAGCCTACTGCTTCAGTGTAATAACCTTAAGCACAGGGGTCACCAGTATATTAATACACATTCACAAACACACATTCAAGTTTTGAAGAAAAAAGTCAGCTGATGCACCTACCTCAAGAGGATTCCAATTTATTAACTGAACTCTGATCAACGGATTTAATAGCTTAGGCAGGCAGAAACTGATATAAGCATCACAGTAAGACTCAGGAAACTTCTCTTTCCATTCCTGGAATTTCAACAGGATTTTTCTGATGTCACAAAAATCTGCATGTACATCTTCAAAGATTTTCCTACTATCCTCTAAAACGTTATCTATGGATAATATTCATTGGGAATAAAAAGAAACAATCACAGAACTTATTGAGGCATGTGCTCAATATTGAGTTTATGCATCTATAGGACATAAGACATCTCTGTATGATAATTGCATTTGTTATTTATCTTTGACACGCCTGACACTGAAATGGAATTTAAAACTGTCTCCCTGGAAAATCCAGTTTCAGAAAAAAAAAAAATACTGTAAGACGACCAAAAAAGGCAAATTTCTTCATGATCTATTCCACAGATTTATACAATCACTATGTTTCAAACTTTATACCACAGTAAATTCCAGACATGAAAACCTTTCTGCTGTTATTTGTAGAACAGGCATTATTCATTTCCCTGCTCCTCTTCATCCATTCATTCACTTAAGATAATTAAAACACCAACCTTTAGCTCGCTATCTTCAGAAAATGAATTCAATATACCAAATGTGATGTAGGATTGCATTGAGTACTGTCAAATCAGCTTTGACACAACCCGAATGAGTTTACTTCTAGTCGAAACAGTAATGTGTAATGTCACCACACCATAACTCATACCAAGAGAAATCTACAGCCATACACCTATTCTTCTCAAGTCATCAGCTGGAACTGTCTGAATGCATTTCTGTTCTACAGTGTGTAACAAAGAGTATGTATCTCAAATGAAGTCTCTCTTCCATCTTTCCTAAAAAAAATAAATCCTTAAAAATAGCAGAAAGAGATTTTGTTCTAGGACATCACAGCAAGACTGTCACCAACCTTTACTGTTCTGGAACTTGGTCATCTCCGTCAGAGTCAGCTCATCATCACTCGACATGCCTTCATGGTGATCAGCTTCACCTGAACGCTCTCTCACTTGCCGTCTGCAAGTCCTGTATTGTGTAATGAACTCAGATGAGTTATCCTCCTCTCACGTGCAGAGGGAAGCTTAATGAAAAATAATCCGACTTCAAAAAATGTACTAAAAGCAAGTTGAGAGCAACAACCTAAGGAAACATCATTGGGAGCAATACTAATTATGTCACCACAAGGACACAGAAACTGTGGAAAGAGGGAACTGACATAAAAGAGGTTAGACCAACGTCCCTCATCTCCCCTATGAGCCACGTAATAACCTTCACTTCACCGCGTTGCTGCTGCTGAGGCTAATAACTCATTCCACCTGGAACACTAACATCTAGCATGGCACTGGACACCATCTCTGACAGTTTTAGCATACAAGAAACCACTGAGCTCTCAGTCCAATGTCTCAGTTCTGGATCGCTTGTGTGAAAACCCATGCAGAAATTGTGATAGTACCCAAGTGCCAGTTGCGTTCAAAAAACTACTGCCATGACATCAAAAATCAAAACAGGCTGCAACTTGCATCTCTGCCACAGGAAAACTAAATATGTGAAAATGATAAGCATAAATAATTCCATACAGTTCTTTACATCAACTAGAATAAAGGTTAACTGCTGCAAGTGGAATTATTTATTGTATCATTTTTCATTCATCATTCACTAAAATGCAGAAGTTCTTGCCACTTTAAAGTACAGTCATGAGTTCAGGCACCAATGCAACTGAAAAACTTTCAAAGCTCCCAGAAACTTTAGAAAAAAAAGTAAAAATCAGTAGCAGTCTCTGAACACTGTTAAAATCCAAAATGTAGTATCTGGCCTACACTGAGAGGGGACAGATATTGCTTTGCTTCACTCGCTGCCGCCACCACCACCTCCCGCAGGAATATTACTGACTTTTTTTTTTTGCTAACTATACAATAATACAAAAATATATTCTGTATAAGGCCGTAATTTTATTTATTACAACAGGAAAGATAAAGCTTGGTGTCATAGGTTGGAACTACATGATCTTTGAGGTCCCTTCCAACCCAAACCATTCTATGATATAGTTTCATAAACAGCCTCACTTAAGATTTGTTAATTTAAAATAACAAGATCTATTAGCATTCAGATTCAAATCAACATGAAGAGGATGTCATTAAGAAAAAGATGGTTTCCAAGTACTTTGAGTTTTGGAAAGCAAATACGTACTTTTTGTATAATCTCATTTAGTAATCCTACAGGTTTTCATTCAACACTGCATAAATGACAAAGTCAGTGTAGAGTACATTTATCACAGCTCAGTGTACATATAGATAATACCTACCTTCGATGTTCACACATTTCCAGAAGCTGTGTCTTCTCATCACCTTCCAATCTGGCATTAGTTGGTTTGCTATTCTCACCTATCAGAAGACAGAAACAGTCAAAAGTAAAATTGTATGATTTTAAAGTTACTATTTTCTCAGTAAGGAAACACTCATTCTCTTTCTACCGTTCTTCATTTGGAAAATGGCCAAAGAAAAATCAAACGTCCTAATCAAAACTCCCACAGTCTCCAGAATAATGCACAGCAAATATTACTTGTTAACTGCATACAGTCAGACATGGTTGTTGTCTTGTAGCAGTTGAGAAGGTGAGTTTCAGGACACTTCAGTCAACACTCACTGCTTCCTAATCCTGGAAAAAGAAAGTTAGTGTCTTCCACAATGGGTTCTTAGCAGTGTGCAAGGCAAGCGTAGGGCTCTACCTTCATCTGTATGTCAAAAATGAAGCCATCTAATAAATTAGAATAACTCTCCAGGTTTGGTTCCAACATTGTAATGGAAGTTAAATCCCTGATTTACACTACTCAAAATCATTGCATTTGAATTTCAGGACTAGTTGGCTCCCGGCTGTCTCCTGTTATCTGAGTGATTACTGACTGCGTGACCCCAATTACTTCTGCTTTGATTCTTGAGTGCAATAGAGAAATAGAAATTTAGAAGCATTTTCTAGTTGGGCCATTCATTTCTATCATTATTAGCTTGCTGATATGTGCACAACATGCCAAAAAGTGTACTATTACTTAAGTATTATCACATAAGAAAAACCAGCCTTTCCACTTTATTAACTACAACTAGGAACATAAAAAAACAATTAAAAGCACTGTTAAACATGCAAGTACAGTCTCATTTGTAGTGAGTTGGAAGTAAAATCAGTTTAATGGCAACCATTATCATGGCACTACCATTTTCTTCTTAACACCTGCTGTCAGTTTGCTGCACCATTTTACAAAATCGCACAGGCTGCTAGCTTTCTCTAATCAGCAGTTTATCCTGCATAGTGAGAAGCTGAACCCATATGATTCGTAGTTACCAGAAACCGGTGCATCTGGCCTCCGTCTGTTCCCAGCAACTCCAAGCATATTGCTCTTAACTTCGCCTAAACAGTTTTAAAGCTTTTGGAGGTCTTGTTTTTTTTTTTAAACAGCAGCAGCTAAAGATTCACAAGGCATACAAACACAATACATCAATGTGGAAAGAGAATATGAGATGAAAAAAATTGTAATAATTTTTCCTACAGTGATTGAAAAATACCGTTTTGTTTCAGATAAAACCCTTACACAAAGTGGCTTCTTTCTTCATGTCCTTCCCTTCACGTGTCACCTCCTAGATTGAAATCTCTGTTCTGAGCACACACACAGCCTTAAAGACACTCATGTAAAACTGATGTTGCCAAGTAAACACTCTGATTTTTCATGTATTCACAGAATTGCATAATAAGTAAGCTTTCTCCAACTTAAGACCTACTGGAAAAATGACTCAATTTTTTCTTTCTAAATATTGATGGGAAATCGCTGACTTGAATAAAAACTAAGTACTTGGTCACATTATGTTCATTGTAAAACCAGAGAAAAACAGTATCATGGGCATTAGTGAGGTGAGGATTTCAATCAGGGCATAGCAGAACACACCTGCTGACAATGGGAAAGGAGATCAAAGGTGAAAATTAAAAACTTCATCCAAAAAGTAACTGTATATTTCTGTTCAGAGAGCAAATGTTTCAATAAGAAAATAACTTTTAACTTCATACTAACTTGTCAGATGCTGAATATAAGCAGATTCGGTTTTCAGTTCATCTTGCCTTCGTTTCAATATTCTCATGGCTCGTTGCTGAAGAAGTACATGCACAGTCAATTCTAGATCGTTAATGTATTTCAGCTGGAATATAATAAACAGTAACCACATTTTTAATTAATTAAAATCCCAAAAGAATAAAAAACAGTTTCCCTGGGTTTTCAGTATAGCCTCGACATTAGAACCAAAGTATTACAGATTGAAAAGTACATTCCCAGTCATTGGAGTTTTTCAGGCTTTTTTGTAAGACTGAAAAAAACACAAAATAAATGCCAGTTGCTCATCACAGGACTACGTGAGACTTCATGCAAAAGGTTCAACAGGACACTCTTGGTGGACTGAGTCTGCTTTCAGATTGCTTTTGAGCCAGTAGCCATTAAAGAAAACATACTCATTAACTAACATTTGTGTTCTTTGAAGTTACATAAAGAAATTGCATCACAATCGTGAATTAAGTGACATAAATTAGATTTTATAGCACTATCTGTAGAGGATAAAAGCAGCTTACTTTCACTGAGGCCAAACTTTAGGAAGCTCCTCCCCTTCTCCTGACCTTCAGCTTTTTAAATACACAAGGTTTGCAGTTCAGCAAACTGAGGCAGCCAATAACGTAGACAAACTCTCACAAAGATCTGCTAACTCAATCCCAACTTGAACCTAACACAAGGTTATGTGACCCATTCCGAGAGATTCCAAGTTAATTTAAGCGCCACCTCTCATTCAACTTCAGTGCACTCTGGTTACTAGACCTGCAGAAAACTCTCTTCGGTAACATATTTTTTTAATCTAACAGCATCTAAGTGACATCACAGCTGTACTAGCTTGATCATCACTTCAGATGAGGGCTGATTTGTTCTCCCTACATTTTGTTTCTTGTTACACTAAAATTTCTTACAGAACTGATTTTTAACTGAGTGCTGTCCCTCACTGTTTCCAAACAAAACCCCCTCATCTTTCCTTGACAGAAGGCACCACTATCATCTGAAAAAAGAAAGAACAAAATACACATACTTTTTCATTCAAACAGTTTATCAAGTTTTCTACATATGTTTTCATGGCCCTGTAGAATTTGTAATGCAGTGCTGCATCCGAAGACTTCTCTAACTCCTGGATAGTCATCTTTGAACTTTCAATGTCCTGCATATATTTTTCATACTCCCTCTGGTGGGCACGGTGCACATCCTGCAACAATGTTATCCTAAAAAAGAGAAACCCAGACAACTAAAACCATTGCCAAGTTAACAGCTGATGCATTCCAAAACATTTTTTCCCCCACTATAATCACATACAAAATCTTTGCCTGTGCTAATAATAGTACTTGCATTTGACCTAAGCAGCATTGAAAGATTTACCCATGCCAACATTTGCAGAGGCATGGGGTGTGGACAAGCATCATACTTTGGAGACTCAAATGTCACTTACGTGGTGCTAGTTTTGAAAGCACCACTGACATTTTACCTAGATCACTCAGTACACCACCCTTCCCAAAAACGTAAAAAGCTAAATTTTGTGATACCACATTAAATGGATCCAACTCAGCATAATCTGGGGAAAACTACAGCTCACGTCAGCATGCCCATACTAGTTAAATGTAAGTTGTATGGAGAGCAGTACCTATAAGCATTCACCACGTGCTCACTACTTTATACAAACCAACTGAGGATGCTTGCTGCTGGTAGGTGGCAAAACCCAGGAAGCTATGTCTACAGCTGTCACTAATAATTAGAGAGGTAGCACAGGAACATTCACATATATTACAACTCTGCTTCCTCTTTTATTTTTACCCCTTCCCTCCTTACATATCCCAAGTGTTTGCTCAGTTTGTGCAAGCCTCTAATAGAACCAAGAAACAGAACTCAACTTATTTCACGTCCCTGAAGCAGGGAACACTTCTCAAGGAAAATAACTGAATTAAGTTATTTATCTCTTTAAAAAAAAAGGCTATTTCAGCATTTAGCATGTTACACACATCTATAGCGCTTAGATAAAACAGGTGTGTGTGTCCGTCCCTCCCCCTCCCCCCCCCCCCCCCCCCCCCCCCCGGCTTGCTACTTTGCAAATACGTTTCCCACTCTTGAGTGTGTTATTTTCATTTTTCTTCAATGATTCTGTACCTAAATTCCTACTTCATTTAACTTATTCCTTTCAGGTGATTATGACAAAGAAAGCATACAATTCCAAAAAAATATTTAGTTCAATTTAGTTGCAATTCTTTAAACAAGCAGGTCAACGATGATCTGTACAAAGCAAAGCATATACAGAAAGAACTCAGGGCAAGTCCAAAGTGCATATTTATGTTTCAGCTGTATAATGTTACTTGTCTAAACTTATCTGAACAGCTGCTTCTTGGTGGTCTGAGAGATGACAGGGGATGGCTTACCTTAGGATGCCTGACCCCAGCTGTCCTTCTCATACACTCTCTTGGAGGTTCTCACCTCCATCCCACGACACTTCAGCTGCCCATAAAACAGCTGTTGAACTGCCTAAGAAAAGTCACAGCCTGGCACAAAACTAAAGAAAAAAAACACCAAGGCAGGTTCTGGTTTGCCTAAACAGGCTGTAGAGAATTTACCGCTGCTGTAAAAAACATTTTTGCAGCTGGTATAAGAACCACCATAAAAGGGCTAGAATTGCCAGGTCCACCTGCCCTGTTTGAACTTCTGCTTGTTGGGCAAACAAAACATTGAACCATTGCTCCTATCAAAAACTACCAGCAAGCACAAAAAGTTGCTGCCATTTAAATGAACTTACTCTCTAAAGTTCTAGTCGATGAAACACTCCTAAAAAGTCCAAACGTTCCCCTACAACAAAGCACTGCCAAGTTAAAAGTTTGTAGTACTTTACTGGACATCATAACAGGCATATTATATGTGAAATAACAACCAAAAAATCCTCCAATATTCTGGAAAAAGAATAAGACTTCAAAGCTGTCATCTCTCATTCTGAGACAAAAACTCACACAACTCAAAAGTTAACTTCATAAGAGCAGGATTTACCTTTCAGTCAGTTGCTTCTTCACAATTTCCAAGTTCACAGGTGGTAGAGAAACAGAGGTGTCAAACTTTGGTTTAGCTGGTTGAGATTTATGTAGGGAAGCATCACAAGTTTCCTACAAGAATTTTAAGCGATAATTTTTAATACACCATTTACTCAAGTTTTGCCTCTGCAGCTCTATATATCAACAAGACATATCATTCAAATATACAAGGCATATAATATAAAGATACATATTTCAATCACCAAATTAAGTACAGCAAACGCTGTACATAAAAGTATAACAGAAGCAAGAGAAATAAAGTATAAAAAAATGCATATATATGTTGTATAAAAACATATAATGTATAAACATATAAACAGTAAACAGTAATCCATAATTTGAGGTTCACTTCAGTTGCTGTCTTGGTCTGAAAATATTAATAGCTTTCAATAATGCACAATGCTCCTATACTGACAGCTGAGACTTCACTAGTATCAAGGTTCTAAACATAAAATGCAGAAATAAACTACAGCCAAGTGACGATGATAATATCCGATTTTATTCGTTTCACTCATGCTTAAAACTACTTGAATATATTTATAATAAATGATTTGCCATCTATTAGTCATTTAACATTCTATTTTCTCATAGTAAACTTTCTGATTTTCTCCCCCCCCAATAAACATGAATCCTACTTTCTGACAAAGCCAGTGGCCAAAAGACAGATTTTTCATTCTGACAACTCAGCTTAACTGTAGTTATAATTTAAAAAGGATTCCACTGAATTTTAGCTTATAAACTAAAAGGCACTTTGCATTCTAAAACAGCAGAAGTCTGTATAACAAAATCTAGTCAAAACACAATCAGTTGAAGCAATCAAGTCTGCCACTAAAAATTGCTGCAGTTTCCTGAACAGCAGAAGTTAAGTTTTCCAGAAACAAGTATGAAGACCTAAGAACACTAAACATACTGGATTGGAAATTCAACAGCAGAAAGACATAACCTTCTCCTAGTCCTCTAACCACTGCCATTTAACAGGTGGAAATTTCTACAATTTTCTCTTCTGAAATAAACAACTGGTTATTTATATTTTCCTAGTCTGATCTAAAGTAGGTGATCCAAGCCAGAAACAAAAACTTTCAGCCCATCAGAAGATATACAGTTTATTTTTGTCAATTATTTACCAGAAGAAAAAGAGAGAATTCTGCTGAACTGTGGAAAGAGCTCTCAGATTGCCACCCAACAGAAATTCCGCATAATAAAAGAGTAAGTTTTGCTTTGCAACTTTTTGACGTTTGTAGCATTTGCTTACTCTTGCTTTCAAAATCCCTTGCACAGCAGAAAAAAAAAAAAAAAACAAAAAACAGGGTTCAGAATTTTATTCTCTGCTTTTCACAGTCTTCTATCATGTACAGGTAGACAACAATACCCTGCTTCTGAACAGCTAGACAGAGATTAGAGATTTTCATTATCATCTTTCTCTACTTCTGAAAAAAAAATGCTTTTTTTCTGAAGAATTAGGGTGTAATATCCTAAAAAATCTCTCTAATGAGAGGGTAGGTAGGCTGATATGACAGTACTCCAGAACAAGATCTCTTGCCAACAAGCAAAAGCAACTTCCAGTAGTTAGGAAAGCACGTGTCACCTGAGAGAGTTTGACAGCTTTCTTTATTTGCTGTTCTTCCCACTTAATTTGTGCTTCATCTTCACTTGATTCATCACTCACAGACACTGGAAGTGAAAACAATCATTATTAATTACATTCATTATTTATTTTTCCCCTCCCATGTTCTCCTCTCTCTAAAGCAACAAGGGTTCTCCCAACCATTACTGGGAAGTGAAACGCACAAAAAGAGATTAAAAACTGTAGATGGAAGGACTGCCAAAATGAAAGGCAAGGAAGGTTTGGAAATGGCTAGTGGGATTTGAAGAATTCACACCAATGTTAATTTCCCCCAACAGATTGTTTCTCAGACAACTACTATTGCAATACAAGGAGTACAAACATCTAATTTTTATGTCTCAAAGCAAAGCTGTGTATAACACATATAAATAAGAGTATAAGTACAGTTAGACTATAACAAAGTGACACTATACACAGCAAATCCTTGAGTGCTCTAAAATGTATGCTCTACTATAGACACAAAAACTTTTCTTTAGCACTAAATAGAATTGCAGAATCAGCTCATAGTTACCCATTCCTTATAACCCTTATTCAAATCATACAGAAAAACAGCGTGTAACTCTTGTAAACTAGTGCTTCATAAACAAAACTGTAAGCAGCTATAAAAGGAAAAAAACACAATGGAAAAGCCACATGTGCTTTGCATGCAATAGGTCTGTTTACTTCTGAAGGGCTGAGTTGTTTTGTTTTTTTTTTCCTTTTCAGGAACACCCTTAACATCACTGCAGGGAGAGCCCGGGAAGAGCAGACCAGAAGCAGCAGGCAGGGCTTAGAAAACTTCGGCGGGACAGTTTGTCTTACACCACTGCAACGTTATTCATGTTAAAAGCTGCGCCTCCTACAAGGCGACTTTTTGCAGTCAACAAGGCCAAAAATAATTTTTTACATGTTTCTCAAAGCATCCTGCACCACCACATTAGTGAGACCTAAACCAGATTAGCAGCCCATATAAACACCAAGCACCGGCTGTTCAGCCTTTTGCCAAGACTGCTGGGGAGCAAAGCCTTGCGCTGCACTCACTCTCGGAAAATGGACTGAGCGCAGCCCTGAGAGGGACTTTGGGGTGCTGGTTGATGAGGAGCTCAACACAAGCTGGCTACACATGCTTGCAGCCCAGAAAGCCAACCGTATCCTGGGCTGCATCCAAAGAAGCGTGGCCAGCAGGTCGAGGGAGGGGATTCTGCCCCTCTACTCAGCTCTCATGAGACCCCACCTGGAATACTGCATTCAGCTCTGGAGTCCCCAACACAAGAAGGACATGGAGCTGCTGGAGCGAGTCCAGAGGAGGGTCACATAGATGATCTGAGGGCTGGAGCACCTCTCCTGTGAAGACAGGCTGAGAGAGCTGGGGCTGTTCAGCCTGGAGAAGAGAAGGCTCCAGGGAGACCTTTGAGCAGTCATCCAGTACCTAAAGTGGGCCTACAGAAACGCTGGAGAGGGACTTTTTACAAGGGCAGGTAGTGATAGGATAAGGGACAATGGATTTAAACTGAAAGAGGGGAGATTTCGATTAGATATAAGGAAGAAATTCTTCACTATAAAGGTGGTACAGCACTGGAACAGGTTGCCCAGAGAAGCTGCAGATGCCTCATCCCTGGAAGTGTTCAAGGCCAGGCTGGATGAGGCTTTGAGCAACCTGATCTAGGGGAAGGTGTCCCTGCCCATGATAAAGGGGTTGGAACTAGATGACCTTTAAGGTCCCTTCCAACCCAAACCATTCTATGATCCTATGATTTCCTGGGCAAGTCTCACATTCTTCTAGACCTCAGTAAAACAAAGCCACAACCACCACTGGGAGAAATGGCACAAACTCACCCATGTGTTCTGTCATCCTCTGCCTAAGAGTTCTCATTTTAGGAGCAAAATTGAGACTCTTCATATCAGACTCATCTTCACTCTCTAAATCACTGCTTTCTCTTCTCCAAGAGGCTTGATGACTGTTTGAAATATCCAGTGGAAGATAATCAGCCTGAGTCCTGGCTAAGTGACGTTTCCTCCGAGCAGCATCAATACGAGCTGCACTGGGGATATTACCTGCATTGGAGAGAAAGAAAATCTAAGCAAAAGACTAAAAACAATGCATTGTACCACTCCTAATGCCAATAATCACCACTTTCAGGACTACTGTACAATTCTGAATATAGGACATAAGATATTTTTCTATTAAGCTTACCATGTTTAATAAAAGGAGATGGAAAAGCATCCTTAAAAAGCGTCTCTCAGTATAAAAATAAAGTTTAAACTTTCTTCTTTTAAATAAATTGCCATTAGCCTTTTCTCCTTTTTTCCATCTTCTCAAAAGATATGGGCTACTAGCTTGCTGTATTGTTAAACAGGATTTTTTTTGCTACCTTTCTTTTGAAACCAATGGTCGTAATTTCTGATTCATTTCCAAAATTAACACAGAAATACAACAAACATCTGCAACCAAAAATACTGGAAATTGTCACTATTCTTTCAGAATGTTAGCTCTGACTCAGCACGAACAAGATGCCTACACTTTACATGATTTATGTGGAGTGGGATTCATCTCATCTATCTTGTCACATACTTCCAACAGAGAATGTTGTAAAATAACTTGAAACTAACCTGGTGATAAATCCTTCCTCCTCTGTGGAAAGTTGGATTCATTTTCAGAGTTTGAGCTGTTGTAGTCCTCACTTAGTGAAGAATAACTTTCATCCTCCTTCTCCTCATCTTCATGAGTGCCTTTGGTGTTGCCAGTTCTAGGCTCCAACTGACAGATTTCTATATTAGGGGGAAAAAAAGGAAGGTTCATGATTTCGATTTCAGCTGTTGGAATCTGATGTGCCATAACTGGTTACCAGTAACTATTTACACCTTGCTGCAGCAAAGGCTGGTCACTTATCTATCTCCACTTGTCCTCACTGAAACATGTCAAATCTTCTGACACTCCAAGACAGTCGTTTACAAGCCAGTTCTTTTCTCAAATCAAAGTATCTGTGATCGTCTTAAAATAATATATCCTTCTAAGACACAGAGCATATTTACACACACAAAACCAATATTAGCTCCCAGACAATAATTGATCTCCTGACAGCTCATAGCATGTTTGGATTAATCTCCCTTGACTTTATAAACTGTGTTTATAAAGTGCTGCTTCTTTTTTAGCATTAACAATGAAGGATTCCTTGTTTAATACAGAAAGGTTTATGTATGTCTGTCTTGTCTCTGATTACCTTTGAATTCTTTAAAAACATTGATTTCTCCTCATCTGTCACTATTCCTTCAGTAAATCATCAGATTACTGAACACTAGAATGTGCTACCTTTTATTTATAAGAGTGTAAGGTATACTTTTATAACAAGTTACTAAGAAGATTCACCATCTCATTTGAATCACAATCCGAAAAGGAAATAATTGCTCAATCCAATTTATTTTTATCTAACAGCAGCAATTAGAATGTATCTGTGAATTGACAGAGGTGTCAAAAGGGGTATACAGGGGAAGAGAACTTTCAGATATACTTGTCTGCAAAACACACAAACCCCAAATATTCCAATAGGAAACTTACTATAGTTCAATGAGACTAGGAATACTATCAGAACAATCAATCTTATTGACTGTATTCAATTAAAATATTCAAATGCTGTAATAGCTAACTGTTTAGTAACACAAATTTTAAGATTTACATTAAGTTTTATCAAACAAAATCTTACCAAGATCACATTTTTCCTCAATGCCAATACTCAGATCAAACTGCAATTTTACACCAATAAGGACTGGATAGTTGTGCCGCAATTTGAAAGATACAATGCTGAGGTATAAATTTATCACAAGTTTATTAACACTGATGTACTATGGAGGTTCTGCCTATCCAGGTATTCTCAAGAACAGCCTCCAAGTTCTGATACTGTTTTGCTCAAGGTCATATAGAAAATAATTTCAGCACAAATAGGTTAAAACTACAAACCTGTGAAGTAATATTTTAAGTATAATCCTGGATTCAATTAACAACTAAAAGATATCTAGCAGCAGTATTTGTACATTGCTCCTCACCGATTCTGTAATATATTTTCATAAATGTTTCATAGAATACTTAACTGAAAAAGGTACTTACTTTTGCTTTCTTCAATTTCTGTCTGTTCAGGCAGTAGGCTTTCCTTCTTTTGAATTCTAAAGGTTACTTCATTGAAGGATGGCTTTTTAATTTTAAAAAATTCTTCACCTATCCAGATAAAATAAAATGATTCTGACTAACATTAACAAAGAGAGCAGTATAGAGAATTATAGAATAGTTTGGACTGGAAGTGACTTTAAAGATCATCTAGTTCCAACTCCCCTGTCATGGGCAGGGACACCCTCCACTAGATCAGGTTGCTCAAAGCCTCATGCAGCCTGGCCTTATGTGCATATACAATGTATTACATACAAAGGGCACATAATCTCCACGTGCGCACAGCATATTTTTTTAATTTCTGGCTGCATTAGGTCTAACTAGCTCTATCGCTTTATCACTCAAGATCCATCAACTCTTAATTTAAAACTGTGCAGCTCAGCTTTCTCAATACACCAACACTGTACTGTTGAAACGTATTGTTTCTTTGCAGTCTGCATCCATCACAAAGTGACTCCCGTGAGCTGACCTGACGTGCTTTGTGTCATCAGCCACAAAAGACACAGCCCTGAAGACTCAATTAAACATTTAAATTTCAGTTATTTAAGCTAGTTCATCATTAACTATGCTAGTCATGGAATCACATATTCTCCTTTTCTTTTCTCGAGCTCCAAGCCGCTTTCAAACACTTCCCACCCAAAAGCACACGGGCACGTCATCTTCAAAGTGCTTTTATGTGAGTTTCTCTCATAAACCCTCACAGCAGCCCTATCTATAATACAGTATTCCTATTTTTCGGTCACAGAGAGGCATAAAAGTGACCTGCTGTGCTCCGGGACACGGGTCCGGGGCTCGACGGGGCAGGAAACCCCCCGTACGCGGGGTGCGGAGGAGCAGCCTGTTCCTCCGAACTCCCAGCCTGGTT